TATTCTTAATTCTTAAGGTGAAGAATTTTTAAAATTAAAATTTTAAAAATAGTATGTTCTAAATTAAATTTTTTATCATTGGTAGATTGATCGTTAAGATAATTACTACATAGTCATTAATCTGTTTCGAACAATACCAAATTTGGCTTTCCCCATATAGTCGATTAGTTGAATATATTATTAGGTCTCTGGGTCAATAAAAAACTTTGAATATTTCACTGTAAAGTGTTACTTGAAATCTTCATTGACTCTATAATAAACCCTTTAGCAGACCGTATGAATAGTTGAATGGAAGTGTACATGTTCTTTTTTAAAAGAAATGAGTATTTTGCATCCCTCTTGTTTACAACCTGGATATAAACATCACGAATTTTATCAGCAATAAACTGAAACACCTAATGACCTTAAACACTATTACCATAATTATTTTTCTTATTGGGATTAAAGTTCAATCCCAAGAAATCTTCCGACGTTATTCTTTCGATTACCACCAAATAATGATTCGTTTAGTTGAATTATATATTCACACCCTATTTGTTTAGATGTGATAACCCAATGAGTTACTTCTCCAACACAATTGGTTCAGTTGACAATTATCCCATCTCCTGTTATTTCTACCTTCAGTTTCATCTCACGAAGAGACTGGTCTTTAAAATAATAAAAGATGTGTTTAATATCTTTTAAACTAGTATTGAATCCTGCTTTTACCCTTTTTTTATAAGAAATTGAAGGTGTTTTGTTGATATACATCTTTTTATTACAGAGTCTGTAATGGAGGAGAATGATATCAAAATACTTCTTTTTTTGTCCTTAGAACTATGAATACTCTGTTTTTTATACATCAACACCTGTTTTTTGGGTGGTAGCACACCCCATTTGACCACAAAAACTAAAAGGGCCTTGTTGTTGAGAATTTTTAATAATTCAACAAAATTCATAGGTTTAAAAAATGTGAAATTTTTATAATAATTTTTACTGTTGTAAATTGATTTATAAGTGCCATGGTCTATGAACAGTGTTGTATTGTAGATAGTTGTTATATTACGAAGGTTGTTTAAATGATAAATTGTATTTAATCATGTA